AGTCGCCACAAATATTGATTATAAAACTTAACAGACGACTGGAGGAGAAAACCGGCTGCTCCGTCGGGAGCTTAAATCGATGTTCTTATAATAACTGGCGCGGGAAACCAATGTATTGATAAGAAAACCTGCCACAATGCAAAACTTTTCCAAATGAGGGAATGAAGAAAAATGTGGGGACACACTAATTAATTGTTCTACATCTTTGTGTAATAGGTTTAAAAATCTGAAACAAATGCTTAAGGATTCCCAAACAATACACCTATCGATCGATTCAATCATTAACTAAAATTAGCATCTTATTGATCCACAATGATTTTTCAAAATTCCGAAAAGTAAGTTATGACATGGCGAGGGAATGAAAAATAAGATTTTTAACATTTTTTTTCTTGTGTAATAATAATAGATTGCTGTTATTTTTTTTTATCATGAGTCGATAAAACAGATAAATATGTATAAGGGAATTTTTTTTCAACTTTTTAAAGTTATTTATTCAATCGAATGAGTCTCTAGGATAATATCCCGTGTAATTAAATTCCTATGTATTACCTGTTCCTAAAGACCTCACCTAAATAATTATGAGAATTGTACTATCTGTTTGTAGAATAATTTATTCTTGTTTTTATCCTATTTGTATAGGTCCACATGGATGATCATAACTACAATCTATATACAAAATTCTTAAAAATGTCCTGTGTTCCTTAAAAAAAAACAGAGTTTATAGTTAATGTCTTTTTAACCCATTTACCAGTAAAATTTGCATGACAAATTATTTGTCGTGGAGATATAGTAAAATTAAAAGCGATAAAAATCGTAATGCCAATGATGTCTTACGAAGTTATTTGCACATTAAACATATTGCGTTGACATCTCACCTGTTCCAGGCTATTATAACCGTCTCGAGCCCCCATGGACTTCCTGCAATCCATCTGCCGTGCCACATATTAATTGAACGCGCCAAAATGCAGTCTAAAATCGAAACAAAAGATGAAAATAAAATCCCGCCAACAAAAACGATTACATAAAACCCAAATGCTGCGTCGGAATAGGCGAATCAGGAGTTAAATCTATAAAACTCTATCTATTAAACTGTTTTATGTACCTAATGGGGTTTAGAGCAAAAGACCATAAACAAAAACGACTGTTTAAAAATCAGTATCAGTAGAATACCACAACCTTTGTGTTTAAACTCTTGTAATGCCATTTAAATACTTACAATAAGATGAACGTTACATAACCTCAAAAAGAACCCCGGACTACCTGTTTATTAAGTCGTAAAGTTTAGGATATTTTTCGATAAATCTTTACATTAAGTTAGTATTTTTATAGTAGTTTACATTTATACAAGACGAAAATAATACTTTATAAAATTGATTTTTAGATAACAATAATTATTTTGCAGTTGTTTAGATATTTAGTTATTTTTGTTTAAAAACTTGTCTCTAGCATAATTTTTTTGTGGAATTCAGAAATTTTATCAATACTTTATCTTGTACATTTAAACAAGTTGGATTTCTGATAAATTTAAAGGACATTAAAATGTACAACATTTTAAAGGTTATCCTAAAACATAATCCTAAGCTGTTTTTTAGGAAATCAATCAAGTGTTTTAACCTACAGGTTGAGCCTCTGCAGTCTATATTCCGTATTATTTGAAATCAAATTATCAATGTGTAACAAGCATAAAATATTATTTCTTATTAAAAAAAATACTTCGAACTTGACGGAAGATTAGATTAGTTTATAGGTAATAAATAATTTTGTGCAATATATAGTCTTGTAAATTCTAGGTCATAGAATTAAGTTATTATTTATGTATAAGTTATACTATGTAGGTCCATTAGATTCTAGATTGGATATAATTCGGATTAACCATACATCAAAATATGTATGTATTTTTGATAACAAATTTGAGCCCTGGTAACTTAGGTGTAATCATATTATAAAGTAAATATAATTACCGCCGGACAAGATATATGCACGAATAATGTAAATAATAAGTTGTATGATCTCAAAGGGTGATTTTGGAGAAGTTCAAACCGTTTTACTTAGTACTTACATGCATTGTAAACCATAATTTATTGAGGTAATAAAAACCGAAAACCAAGCATTTAAAGTTGTACAGCAAACTGAGAGCAAAAAGAAGAAGTATTCTTTGGAGGAGGAGGAAATAAAAAAATTCAAGATAAGTTTATATATATTTTAATAATTATTAAATAAATACTATGTATGTGGAATATTTTTGAAGAGAGGAGGGTCAGATACAACCCTTGATACTTTCTGGTTACGAAACTAGTTATGGCTGTACTATTAGGTTAGTACAATACAAAAACTTAAACAGTCTAATTATTTATTTTTTATCAAAAAGATGTGACAGTTTTGCTTTTTTAATATTTAACTAGTTTTTAAAGATTTTTTTTTTGGTTGAACGCAGAACTGCATATACGCTTTTCAAAAAAAAAAATGTCTCGCGTAGACAAACTTTTATTTTTTTTATATTCCAATACAAATTTAATATTAAACCCTACACTAGCGCAATTATACATTGAATTTTTTTAAATCATATAGTTCAAGAGAAAAATGATTTAGAAATATTACCAAGAACCGCATTCGATGAGTTGGACTTTTATTTAGCTTTTACTGTATAACAGTTAATACAGTACACAATACAGTTGTTTTTGAAATATAACGTCTCTCGTTTTAAAGTCAATCATAAAGTACCTACACGCATAGACTTTGTTGCGAGGAAGCAGGAGCTGATTACTTTCAATATTGCATTTAATTAAATCAGGTCGTGACTCCGGCTCGATAACATCTGTTAACACGTCATGCTCGGGACATGACTTTACACCGGCTATAGCGCATTGAAGTCGGAGACGACCTTAAGACCCGGTTTGGCCGTCTCTTCTGTTATTAGATAAAATATAAGCAGCCGTTATTTCGTGATGTATAGTTAAAAACATATAGGCGGTCGGCGGATAAGCGTAATTTTTTTTTTTTAAATAAAAGTAGTTTGGTCGGCCAGATTTCCAAAGTCAGTGACCCATCTGTGATTTCGATAGACGACGGGTGTTGTCTGGCGCTACGGTACTTATGTATATATACCTTAACGCGTGCGACCCCGTTGATTTTTTTTTATATAAAAAAAAAATGCGTTAGATCTTAAATGCGTATCTGTATGTGTGTGTGTGTGTATGTGAGGATAAGTCGGTTAAGTGCTACTAATGATGAGGGTTTGTTGTATGTGTAAAAAAACACACACACACACGCACATATACCTACGGCCAGGTGAATGCCATCTGTCGAGGAAAGGCACGTGCTCCACGCTAACGTATATCCCACATGACACTCGTTCGACCAGTTCACTTGCGGGTTCATCATTGCTGTAAAGTCATTATTACTGTGTTTTTTTCCCCTTTTTTGTAAGTCAACTGGGTAACAGCCGGCTCTCACCATACCTGTACTTCTATAGTATGTGTCGATATACATGTAATACAAAAAGCGTTGAGTACATCCCGCACAAATAGTGTTATTATACAGGAATAATATGATTTGCCGATATAAAAAATACACCGTTAATTTCGCTTTCTCCCGTGCAAAGGGTGTGTAAACCAGCTTTCCGTATACTCGACGGTCTGGTGTAAATTATAACCGCGAGTAGAGAAAAAAAGATATGTATATAATATACAATATGACAGTAGGGAAGCTACAGGAAATGTATCCCGTAAAGCCTTTTTCTTCGCGTGTCTTGAAGGAGTCGCCAAGACTTGTTTTTACTTTCTATTAAACGCATACAACGTTGGTCAAATTTTGTGTACAACTAGTATACCCTATGTGAGTGCTATTATCTAGTCGAAGGAATAATAATAGTGTACAAGTAAATGTATTATTTTGGGGGCCAAAATAATACATTTTAAACACATTACATAGAGTTCAATAGAGGGCAGCGCGTGTATTCGTACACACTACACAGTAACTGAGAACACGCCCAACGTCAATGCAATAATTAACATTGATGAAAATATATTACAGACTACAATTTAGACGTTATATATAATATGATAATAAGCATAGGCTCAACGGGCCATTCAAAACACGAGTGGGTCTCGGGTGACGGCCTTAAAACCGTTATCGATATTGTTATTCCTTCTACGATCATAGATCATAATATATAACCTCTTAAAATCATCAAATTCTACCTAACATATCCAATATTTAATATTCAATATTTAAATGCATTTTAAATAATTTTTTATTTGATTTACACAATATAATTTTTCTCTCGAAAAGTTGTGTAAATAATGTAAAAAAATAAATTTATATATAAGAGCCGTGAAGTTAATTATTAATTTCTCCGGAGATAAACCGAATTGAACAAGCATTTAAACTAAATTATAATCACCGAAATCTATTTTAAAATTTTGTTTCTAGGATTTAGTCACTCCTAGTTTAACAATATTTCAGTTATCATTAAAGTTGACAAAGTGCACTATCCAGTTTCATATAAATGTGATACAAACGTCTTGTCTCGTAATCATTTTTTTTTTTAGCGATATTTATTTATCGGCGTGCATGATGTTACCATTATACACCTGGCGCCCTTGGTCGTTTTGGTGCGCTTAAAGGCGCAGGTGACTTTGTTGGCCGCCACAGCGACAGGTGTCGTTACGGGCAAGTGTGTGTGGCTTCGTAAAGCCAAGACGGAGGCATAGTAACGTGTATAATATAATGTACAACGAACGCAGTTGTTGTAGGTATATAAAAAAATTACAAACGTCTGTTATGTAATTACTAAAATTGAAAAACGGTCTTCTTTGGAAAACGTAAAATAAGAAAACCTTCATCTATTTGTGGTTTTTCTTCAATCGGGAGAGTGTACAATGGAGTAAATTATACAGGTATACAGTTAATACGGTTAAAAAGAAACAATACTAAATGATTAAAGACTTATCAATTTTTATTTTATTTCCATTTATACATATTTCAGTTTTGTTCTTCGAGTCATTTCTATTAGCGTAAATATACAATTAAAATAAAAATGCTTACATGATTTAATAAGTATATTTATTTTATTTTTAAGAAGGAAAAAGTAAGATAGGTGTAGGTGTAAATGTGTATGTGTTAATATATGTGCGTCATTTTAAGACAACGTTCGTGCAAGGTGTGCACGTTGGTCACGTGTGAAAAACATAATAGTAATTATTACTAACCGTACGTATTCTTTGGTGGTTGTATGTACATAGTAAAAATACTAAAAATAATTAAACTAAAACTAATAATTATATTATATAATATTAATCAAGTATAGGTTCAACTCGTTTCCGAAACGCGTTAAATATTTTGAAATAATAATAATAGTAATAATAATAAATAAATAAATAAATAGGTAAGTAGTCTACAAAACGCCGTTTCTGGATTTATAGACTACTTAGGTATAATTAATTTTAGTAAAAAGGAACTATGTGAGACTTAAGTTTTTTACTTAACTAAAAATAATTCTATAAATTATATATAACACTTTTGGTAGTGGTCCTCTATATAATAATAATAGAAATAATTAAATGACTTTTCAGTCAACTCTAAACGCAAAACACAATCGGCATACACTTACATGTTTTTTATAATGTCGTTTCGTTTTATCAATAAATAAAATGGTACTTGACTATAAAAAAAACTAAAGACATTTGGCTCTATTATTTGACTATAAAAGAAAAACTGTTTAATTAGAAAAAACGGTCGTTCAGGTAAACATTAACGATATTATTAATTCGTATTTTATTAATTCGACAATGCGCAGTAAAATTAATTTTTTTTAAGATGCCAAAATTAAATTCCATTTTATAATAGCTTTATACGATGTTACGCACATGACGTCACCTACATTTAAAAAATAATGCTTTTGTTGAGTATACAAAATATATAACCGCATCGGTTTGAAAATTATATAATAACAACGTATATTTTTTTCAGGACAGGTGTAAAATAACAACAAAATCGAATTAACATAATGTTCTATAAATATCTTACATGTTTACAATACGGAAACGAGGGGAAATAAATTATCAATTTTAAACGAAGATTACCGCTATGTAGTATAATTATGTATCAATTGATTTATTTTTGGTAAGCGTGGACGGACTAGATTGGACAACTGTCGCGATTCAGGTTTTTGTTCGTTTTTCCCACAAACGAGGTTTACATAGACTTTTGATACAATACCGGTGACTATGTCATATTTTTAGGTTAGCCGGCATGTAACTCAACAGGCAAAGGGGAAAAAAATCATAAAGTGTCTAAGACTGAACTTTGCTAGCGCCGCCTAGCTGTCTCTCATCCGTGTTCCCAGTGATTGAATATTTTTATAATATACAACATATTCGTACTATATGCGACGTTCTCTCTCTTTTTCACATTCTCCTTTTATTTCTATGTGATTACTGAAATGTTAGCCGTAAGGTCGGGAGCTATTGTTGGAACATGTTTAGGACTTGAAGGGAAAGGCGGGTAAAAAGTAAAAACCTAGGCCGGGTTAGAGCAGAACGCCTGTATTAGCTGCTGCTGTTATCGGTGCAAGGCTGATGCTGCTGGTGGTCGACAACGGCGGCTGTAGTGCTGGTGATATGACACTGTTGAGCTGGAGACCCGGGGTGTTGGCTCTCCCTATGCCGGCGCAAGTCCACCTTCCTCTGGAATGCTTTGTCGCACAGCCCGCAGGGAAACGGCTTGTAACCCGAGTGTTTACGAAGGTGAGTGATCAGGTTAGACGACTGGCTAAACGCTTTGTAACACACCACGCACTTATGAGGTTTCTCGCCTGCAAAAACAAACGACGCCATTGAAATATAATTTTGTATTTATATATAAACACTTTTAATAATGAACAATGTATTTATGTATGTGAAGGCAAGATCGCCCAACGGAGAAAAATACATTTTCACAATAAATAATAGTATAATACGACTGCGCTTTATAAACTATCAGTTTCTTAAACGTGCATTTGTATTGTAAAATGCTTTGAAGTAAAGACAAATCCGCCAGTGAGTGTTTAATAGATATAAAATGTTTTTTCCTTCTTACAATAATTACACTACCAATTTTAGGGATTTAAATAGCCAGAATGATGGTCCCGCTAGATGTTCACTTGTCTTCTCTCTCGACGAGTCACCCATTATTGTACCGAACACTCGGCAACTAGCAATACATAAGCTTTAAGTCACGCAAACATAAGGCATACGGTTGTATTTAAAAAGAGAATCAGCGATCGGTTTTGTATAGGTATAACGATTGTAACCGATTAAGAAATATGTTAACAGATTTGCATTAAAAGTGTTTTTTTTTTAATTAATTTAAAACTTTTTTTAGGTACGATTCATACCACAGAGATTCCATTGTCGAAGTAAACATAATTTATTTTACGTATATTATATAATGTATACAGATACATAAACTTATGTATCTGATTATTCACAAGTCGTCGACAAATGTGATCGAAAATCATTGTATTCATACATATTATATAATATGTAGGTACTAACATTAGTTTCTGACAAAAAAATACATCTCATAAATCGTATAGGTCACAACAATTATTCAACACAAATATTGAACACTGGTGGTTTGTATTGTTTGAGAAGATGATGACACGGGAGTCGATGAATTATTGAGTTCTAAACTCGTGTTTTCGTCAAGTAAAATAGTATTGTTTGTTTACACACGTTCTAGTTCAAATGGGCATACATTACGTTTACGGTAATGATTTATACATTATTATCTACTATTGAAATTGTAGCATATTAAATTATATACAAAAATATAAGTATTAACGGGGCCCCGTGTATATTTGTTATTCAAAACTTTTTCCCGATAAAAAAAAAAATCAACCTTTATACTAAATATTGGCGCGACAGATAAATTAATTTCCTTACAATTTATCAAAAACCCGAACCCCCCCCGTAGGTTCGTTAAAATAAATATTGACAAGTCGAATATTATATTGTATAGGCACGTATATTATAGTGTGTACACAAGGTTTCGCATCACTTGTGTTAATGGCTCCCTTTCTATGTCCGGCCCGTCGAATAAGAAATGTCGTGCATTATTTATAGCCATCCGTTACTCTATAGGTGTACACACACAATTATTATTATATTATAACGCTGCACTCTTACCCCTATTCCGCCGCCCCCCGCGTGCCTACAACCTTCCCCCGGGAGTGTGTGGAATCTCCAGCGAACCGTTAAGGCACACTTATTCGTTTACCTAACCGCCTGTTTTTTTTTTCACTTTTTTTTTTTATCGTGTGCGTGTGACCGTCGCCGGCACACGCCACACTCCCAAAACCTCTCGAGGGTAACACGCCTCGTGCCGCAGTTCAAAGGCGAATATTATTTTGGAGGATCCAATCTGAAATAATGTGATTTAAGCGGCACAGTCAACAATAACAGTCTACCTTACTCGGATTCCAAAATTTAATTAAATTAAGGTGTTATCGTTAACTCGATATCGGATTTTTATTTATGTACCTATGTACCTATTTAGGTACCATAGTACCTAAACGCACGAGTCTTAGTAAGCTCCTTTGACGCACACCATACAGACTTCAGGATTATCAGACAACAGTCGCTATCATTCCTACGCTAATTGATAAAGTAACAATTTACAACAGTGATGAATTCCAGAAAAAAAGTTAGGGCGAAACTCTATATCCGGGCACTAAATTTAAGGTTGACCACAAGCGCTGTTGTTTTTAAACACCTAATTTTTTTGGGGGATTATACCAAACTTTTATTTAACTTAATTTGTATAATTTAACGAATTGTTACAATTAACCATAATAACAAAATTCAAGTTCTGTTATAAGTGAATAATTATTAAATAGAGAAAACTGTAATATGTGCTTTTAAACGGTTCTCCGTCGATATTGTAATACAATTATGTTTGTACGACCAATTTACCTGTGTGGATATATGTGTGCTTCTTCATGTCGGACTTCTGGTGAAACCTCTTGCCGCAGAACTGACACGGGTACGGTCTGGTGTCCGAGTGGATCAACAGATGCGTAGACAGCGTGGAAGACCTCTTGAACGTTTTGCCGCACAATTTGCACTGCAAAGCAAAAGAAAAGCGTCGGTTTAGCAAACAAACAAAACACAGATCATTTAAGACGAAATCATATGCAAGGAACTATAGGAAGCTTAACGGCCAAACAGCAATGCGTTTAAATATTTCTTTTTGGTCGAAATTTCCTCTAACTAACGGCTCTCTAAGCTCTCTCGTGTAATTCTAACTACATTTCTAAACAAGCTTCTGATTTAACCGTTTTGGATTACGTATACATGTTTATCAGTTTATAATAATATATACAATACTGTTACTTAGTAGCGTGACCGTACTAATATAATATACATCATGTCGCTTGTGTTTTAAACACTGTAGTCCGTGCATGGAAGCGGTTATTATTAGTTTTGTGGCTTACACCAACACATCCACATGACATCAGAAAATTAAAAATCGTTCGGAGGCGCGCAGTTTAAACAAAAATAATATTAACGAACACCCGCATGCCATTAATCCGAGTTGTCGTTAAAACGACATATGTAATATAGTGTACATATATTTTTTTTACACACAATTGTATCTTAATGGGTTAGGCGCGAAGCCGTTTCCGTAATGATATACTGTACGTATATATTATTATTATAATATTGTAATGTGTCTTATCGAAAACGCACGGCAGAAAATTAAAACGGGTAATTTTATTGCTCTCGCATAATACACTATCTCATCAAATAGTCGACACGTGAAGACAAAATAATATACATGTTTTCGTTTACTTCATACCATACCGCCATTTTTAGATCCGATTTCTTGGGCATACATGTAACTGCATAAATGCAGCGATAGACACACACGCAACATTAGTGGCTTCAGTTTTTTTAATTTTCACTATGATTTCACTACGCTGCGTATCGTCAAAAAAATTTGATTGAGCAGGTATTTTTTTTTTTTTTTTGTATCGCGCACGATATTTTTAATTATATTATTAGTGTCACATATCAAATGTCATTTAGTTAATTAACCCACACGCAGTGTCAAATAATAATTATCAATGTTATTGTCGCTCCGCGGTGACGACATCGTCGGCCGATGGTTTAAATTTTATTTTATTTTTTTTTGATTGCCAATTAACGCGCGAAGTGCGTATCCACGTTTAACGACCAATAAGTCGTTTTACTGTGTCAGTTTTTTTTCGAAATGAATAATAGTAAAACAAAAATAAAACAACATTTTTATGACTTTTCGATAAGAGATAATCTAATGCAAACGTTAACAAAAAACCCACCACGCAACTACCGTGTGTAATATTATACATATTTTACCTACATAAATAACATACACATAATATGTATATTGTAGCTAAAACCGAATTAAAACCAAACCGCTATCTTTGTCGCTCACAACATGTCACGGAACGCGTATATGTAATCGGTAGTAATATTTTTCGCCGTGCTACATTTAAACAACTGTAATATCATACTATACAAGCACCGCATTTCCAATGAATTTTGAAAAGTATAACCAGATAAAGTACACGGATGTGAATATTAGACGATAAACAATTGAGAACGGAAGTAGATGAAATAGATACGAAGAAACGGTCCTCGGTTGAGTGGAAGTGAAAAGGTGATAAATATCATTATGCAAATATGGTTTGTTAAGTTGCACCAATAGTAGGTAAAATGAAAAATAATAGATTGAAATGGGTTGAGCGTGTTAAAAAAAGAAAAGGAAATGAAATAACAAGAAACAGTAGTATAGACTATAGAGGGATTGGAGGTAGACCAAATAAACAGTGGTTGTATTTTTTATTATTTAATGAATTACATAATGACCTGTAATGGGAGTGTGTGGAATAGACGGAAGAGCAAAGATTTGGCTGACCGAGTCTATTCATATAGGCCAAGACAACAAACACTAAAAAATCAACGCATTTTTATTTTTGTATAATTATGAAGTTCTAACGCCAACAACTGTTTGAATATTTACGACAATCAAAATGCGGTGGAAAATTAATGTACATAAACGGGACACAGCCAACGATGGTGTCATAACAAAATTATTATTAATATATTTAACCACTTTTGTTGGTTCGTGGGAAAATAGTCGAACGACCTATGTTTAATGGCATAATTATAACTACTTTAGTTAAACCAAAGGCGCAAGCCTAAAAAACAGATAACAATTTATAGTTGATAGTTTTCATGTGATCAATTATTGAAAATCTGGTATCGTAGTTATTAAAAAATATTAAAAATATTGTATACATGTATAATATGCAAACGTTGGACGGTTCGCTTATTCGACTAAAACAAAAAATGTTTACGCCGTTGCGTTGGTAACTACTTAATCTAATATCTAGAACTAAGATAATATGTTTCATGAAAAAGTGAGCTTTAAGAGCGTTAAAATATACACATCAAAAGTGTAACGTAAAGAGTTGCGTGTAAAAATAATAGTGCAGAGCGAATTACTTAGACAAGTGATGTGCGTGTGCGTGTATTTAGGCGTTATATAGGGTGCTCGAAACGTGTGGTACACTTCTGGTGAGCGGTCTAACCTGGAAAGACCTTTCTACGCCCAACGCGTTGTCGGTCAAACTTTTTGACTGCATCGGCAAGGGAGATTTTTCTTTTTCGCAAAGGCTGCCGGGAGACCAGATCTCTTGACTCCTCTTTTTCATGCACAAGTTCAACGGTGATTCCGACACATCATCTGTAATCAGTTTTATTATCACAATTAACATACTATCATTTACCGGTTTACCAAATATCATGTATGTATGATTATTTATTGTTACATCTTTGGCTGTACAATTAAAAAAAATCTATGAAAAATTAACCTGCCAAAGTCTTATTCTTATACTGATCTCAAAAAATACTTTTGTAGTTTTTAGTCCTAAGCCCCACAAATTATTCTTAAACAACAAAATATTGGTTTTTACTTCCACACACTGACGAGGCTGAGGATGTTTATGCCCTTTCAATTGCCTATGTTATTATATACCCTACATAATACATTTTATTTATCATAATATGTTAATTAATTAGAAAGTGAGTAAATTTAATTTAGGATATAATGTGATGATTTGTATGGAGTTTATTTTAAAAGTCACAAATATCCTTCATAGTTTGGCATGATAAAAATATTGTATTTTGTCAGAAATGTGGTTTTTTAAAATATTAAGTATACGTATTTACACTAGTGACCCATAATCATAAATTTAACTACAGATTTAGTATATTTTTTTTTAATTTGATAATAGCCACTGTAGATCTATTTATTTTATTCCTTTACATTTTTTTTTAAATCAGTTGATACTGACCAAAGATGAAAAGTCCCTTCGAAATAAATCTAAAATTATTCATTCAAAATGGGTTTTGACCGGGCAACATTTTTAGAAAAAGTTATTCTGGATTGCATGAATTTTCATTAAAGGTCTAAAGAACTCATACACATTTAGTGGTTCTTCATTAAACTTCATTTAATGTCCCACGGTTGGTCCATTTAATTTAAATGAAGCATTAAATGTCTAAATTGTTTGTGCAATCCTCTTCTTCTGGTCTTGGCAGATTCATTCCGCCCCCTCATCCATTACAAAATCCTTGGTACAGCACTACTCACGCAAATTAAATTTGCAACAAACTAAATTTCCACTTCATAATCCCCGTTTCCTCCTTTGTTTACTCTCCGGCTAAATTCCTCCTAATTTTATTGTAATCAGCATAACTAACTAAACAGAATATACGGAACGCACCTATATCATAATACTCCTACTTATTTCTGTAAGAAAAAATGGCAACTTGTAAATGACTTACCGAACTTTGCTTTTTCTGGCGTCTGGCCGGCGTCCACACTTGCCCGGTCAGGAGAAAACTGTAAGGATTGTTCTACTTTGACCGCGGTGGTAGTCATCGAAAATGACGGAGGGGTAGTGGAGGAAGCGGCGGCTGCAGCAGCTGCGGCGGCCGCGGCCGCTGCTATCATGTGGCCTCCACAACTGGACAACGGCGAGTACGGCATCATCAGCGGCCATAGATACGGCGAAACGGGTACGAGGCCGTTGATGAAACTGCCGTAAGGCGAAAGGTGACCTACACCGGTAGCCGACATGGACAACGGCAGATCAGCCGCCACGCTATCCGTGTGCCGGAAAGGGTAGAAGGCGCTGTTCCGATGCGACCACCGGACGCTAGTGCCTGCCGTCGGTGACATGGACGGCTGGTGGTGCTGGTTGTGCTGTGGGGACGGCGTCGTGCTTGTTGAACGTCCCAACTTCATCGGCAGTCTCCGATCCTTGGATGACTGCTGGGGCGACGAGCTCGAATGGTAATCAACATCTACACAAATATAACATTTTTACTGTTTTGTATATTGTACTACCTAGATTTATATGACTAAATCAATGACATTATTATTATATCTAAAACTATACAGTTCAGAATATAATCATAATATGCCATATAGCTCATATTTTGTAATATATTTGCTTACATAATAATGTTCGATAAAAAAAAAAAAAAAAATTTAACTATCAGAGTACACTATCAATTACATTAGGAAGATTTGTCGATCCGAAAGGTTGTAACGAATTTGTCTTTATTTTACTACTACAATTATTGAGCATTTACTTGATCAAGTAAAAGTCAAATCTGAGATCAAAAGGACGCTATTGCTTTAAACTGAATTTGTAGACTTACATGATTTTTAACCTTAACCCATAGGCGTAATCTCGGGAATGCAAACATAGTGCATTTGCACCTCCTAAAACTTTGTTAATTTAATAAACTTCTCCCACCTCCCTTCAAAATACTAACTAACTATTAAGTGTCATATTTATACTGTTTAATACCTGTTTATATTCAGCAAAAATCAAAGTCCTTGATCCAAGTTTTCACGTTATTTTTTTAATTCAATTTGTCAGTATAGACTACTGCTGTTTACAAAATTAATTTAACTTAATTTTTCATTTCCAATAAAAAATATATTTAAATTATATACTTATAGCATAACTGTTTATGATATAAACTCGATTGCAAACCATAACACATTTTTATTATATTATCAGAAACTTGGAAAACTATTTCCTATTTAATTAAATGTTTTTTTCTTTTATACAATTTATATATTTTTAAATATTAATAATGATGCACGCATAACATAAATAAACGAAACATGTATAATATTATTGATTAATCAATGATGTTACATATATTTTTTAATGTGGCTGATAAGGTAAATAAAGACTTACTCACAAGTGCAGCGAGCTGCTTTGTGAGGTATTATCAAAATTACAAATCGGGCTTGCACCCCTTGAACTTTAACAAGATTATTCATATATTATGACCTAATCCAAGGGAATAAAAAGATGTTTGAAGATTTTCTTGAAACTTTTATACTTATAAAATAATATTGATTATATTTAAAATAATCAATATTCGAAGAAGTATGCTAAAACGAACTCTAAAGCAACTATTAAAGGATCTGGGTGTTTACCAAGGGCTCTGTATAATTATCATTATATAAGTATACGGTATGCATAGTGAAGAATATAGATTTTGAAATATTAACTAATTGCCTATTGCCGTGACATCGAGACTAAGCATATACCACCCCTAATATACACACTAGTATTGATTTCTTTAATTATTATTATGGGTCAGGTCATCGGTCAGGTGAATAATTTATCATTCCGAGGCAACGACGACGCATCGACAAATTGAAAATTTGTACCGTGTTACTGAATAATTGTATTCTTCTACTAAACAAAATGGGTTGTTGCATTTTTTCAAGACCCTAAACGGTAAAAAAAACTGCTACAACGTTGCGCTCTAGAAATATTATTTATTCACTTTTTACTGATTAGTGATCCAACCAGTCATAACTTCCTAACTTCTCTACATAAGTACATAAAAGTCACCTAACCCGGGGTTTGAGCTCAAAACCTGTCGCAATATAGTATATATATTTTTTTTTATTTCAAAATATTGAATTAAAAAATGTCTGGAATTACTAAACATCAATCTGATATAATCATTTAAGAGTTGTATAAAAAATCAACTTGCAACAATCTACAATATGTCTTAATATACGATGTAGGCGAAATGAATACTTGTTGTAAGTATATCTGTATATGGTACTTACTACGCATATAGAAATTAATGTTTATTTTTTAATAAACATTTGAATGGAAACAACCGTAATCGTCTCAATCTAACCGACGGCCAAAAACAGTGTATCATCGGATTAGAGAGTTCTCAATCTTAATCAGGAGCGTTTAAATTAAATTTCATATGAACTGAGATACATTTTTGTTAAAACTAATATATTCCTAAATACAAGGTGAGGTTTAATAAGCAATTCAATTTTTTCTTTACATAGTGTTTTTATGCAATGTGATCTAAATTTTTCACCATTTTTTTTTGTTTTTACCCCCTTCCTAACTTGGTATTGCGTGATCACCCTGTATAATATAAAATGTATGATTTCAATATATATAAAAATTATCAAAAACTTGTTCATTAGTCTACTAAATTAATCAATAATTTACGACAACATGTATTTAGAACTAACACACTTAGACTTGTCAATAAAACAAAGCAGTTATAGATTAAGTGTTATAACTTTAGAAATATCCGAAATATATTTCTATATTGTTAGTAAGTGCGTTAATTGGAATTTATAGAGATAAAATAGTCTTAAAATTATTGCAATTGTAGGTATATAACCGAATGATCAAAATCATGGAAAACATATATTAACTGTAGAAAAAAAACAATTTGCTACAAAAAAAATTCTAAGCGCGGCGATTTAGTATGAGAGATTTAAATGCGCTGTTTGTAGTACTATACAATTAAGTCTATGCTTCTTTTTTAACTATTAACTTATACAAAATCTAACCGTAACTTTAAAACTGTTATTATTAAAAGATAATATTATTTTAATGATTTCCTTTTTTATTTTTGAATAAGCTTTATAATTTCGTGCTGATTGTGAGTAGTTAATAGGTATAATTTATCTGCTTTCAGAGTAATGGCATAACTAGAAACTAAAGCACTCAGGAACAAGACCTTTTTTGCGCCCTATATTACATGTTAACTTAAATAGTGAACCATAAAAAAATGACCTAAAATGGAATGCCCCCCTGCATCCACGTTGTAATTTGTTTAAAATAATAAATCAGTAAACAAGTTAAATTTACGATATTTTTATTTAATATTTGAAATTATTTTCTAAAATATAGGCGTTGTAGATAACGGCAGTTCCTTACAAAAGTAATATGTATAAATAGGTAAATACTCTATGCATTATATTATATTTATTTACTCCTTCACTGAATATTGTAAATCGAATGGTAATGAATTGGCATGCCAATGAAAACTATCATCCCATTTTTTTAGTTATAAACCTAACACACATATCTTGTTAAGTTAGGTTAAGCTAATAAATTTTCTACAAAATAGTTGATTATAAATTACTAACGTCGTACACGGAAAAAAACATTTAGTCGCGTTTACAAAGAAATTTGTTGAACAGCAACATTTTATAGTCAACCCGGCCGGACATTAAAGTAAGTTAAGTAGATTAAAGTTGACTCGATTAAATGTTTAATTGAAAAACGATGGTTTATAAGTAATTAATTGTCAATTGATTGTTTATAGATGATGAAAATGCATAGCTTGTCGTAAATAACAGTACACTGGTAGAATATAAAATTAATAATAATTAATACATATAAATAGAACAAATAAATATAAAATAGTCCACATAAACTGTTAAATACAAAAACCTACGTTAGTAACAGTGGCAATAATCTCATATTTGTGTTACTATTTTTTTTTTTTGTGTAGTGACACCTAATATTAAAAATAAAACTGTATGACTCACCTATATGTAATAGAAACAGACAAAGTGGAGTACATTGGCGTAGGTTGAAAAATTCTAATCTGAAAACCTCTGAACAAATCGGCAGTTCAGAAAACACAAAAATCCGTATCGTTTACTCCGTCTTACAGTAGTATGTTGTATTACAATTATTATTATGACAAATTTGACGGTAACCGTCTATACCGAGTGCAAGTCAGTGAAGCGGTCGCGGCTTCGGGGTAAACACTGATGCGGGCAAACGGCCTGCCCAATGCTCGGCAGGACGCTCCTCCCGTCGGGCCGGCACAGATCGTCTGCCATTGGCTACAGGCCGACAGAAAAGGGGACAGGTGAGGGGACACACACTAACACGTCCCACCCTTCGACAGCACTGATGGTTAATACATATTATTATTATTATGTGAATAAAATATGATTATTATTGTAATATTATATTATAATAATAAAGTATCAACCGTATCGTATTGGTGCATATATTAAACACCTATGTTTAAGTATTTAGAAGTACAACTAATAGTCGCGATGGCAAAACATAATACAGTAGCAATAACGGAGTACCTACCTATAAAGTGTTAAGGACCTTCCGAAGAAAGCGGCTACCTCTCTCCCCCTCCCCTCGTATCGCCCGTAATGTCCGTCTTTTAAAAACCTACGAATTTCGGTGTTATACATACCGCCGATAAACTAGCACGTGCCAAAATGAGAAACAATGCGGGTGATCGGCCGGGAAAATTGAAAACCCACAGCAGACGGCCCACTGTTTTATTTTAACTGTTTTGGTTGTGTAAGCATACGAGTTCCCATTCAAAACATTAATATTTAGGCTATCTACGCTGTATATTAACATAAGCGCCACTAGACCTACATTTTAGGGTGTGCTAAAATTATTTATACCAGACTAAACATAATTCTTATCTTCAAACCATTAGATGTAAAATAAAATATTCAAAAACAACAATATTCTAAAATAAAACATTTTAAGAGTATGTACATCATTAAAATTGTATGATGGGGTAGCTTCTAGGGGGATAAGTCCCCCTATAAGCTCCTTAGTTGCGCCTAGGTGTATATATTTTATTATTATATTATACACTATGATATGTACATTTATTATGTCAAAACAAGTCGCCCTAAACTAACCTCAGCTAATCCCAATTTCCAACACACTCGATTTCACTAAATTTAGATCCGCTAACTGCAAATATTATATAAATTTAAAAAATAGTCCCAGTCATGTTGAAGAAAAAAAATCTTCAAATAGGTAAGATTAGCATGTCTATTCTGTAGTCGCCGAGTGGCCATAATCACTTGTCTAGTTTTAGATAAATAAATTGAAGGTTTAGAAGATTTTTTTTCTGAATCCAAATCAATTAAAATCTTATTTTCGCCCAAATTTGACTTGACCGGTTATGGTCGCCCACTGCAGATTTTTTATGTAAGATTAGGTATAGCACATACAATTAAAGTATTAGTTGGAATGTTATTTGCTTGGACATATTTAGAAAACTGCATAATCTTTATTCGAAATGTATCATTGAAAATACCTACTAACGCCGTTTATGTACATAATATTATCGCCCTCAACATGACAGGTAAATTCACACGCGAGAGAAAAGATAGTTTCAAGTAATTATTATAATTATCCCTAAAGTTGTCCCATTATGAATTTATCTAATATTGCCCAGAGATGAAATGAGTTTATTTTTAATAATGGAAAAAAACCAAGAGCCTTATAATAAAAAAAACGTTTTTAATTACCTTATATACCTATTACTTATTCAAACAGTGTTGTGTTGTACATTTACAATCAGCAGAATTATACGCACTGCTATACTAGATTAACACTTAATAATATTATATTGAAACGTCACATAAAAATTGAACTGACATATTATATTATTATGATAGCACAGCATTATAGTTAACGCGTTTACTAATCGCTGTTCTTATATTTGTTCACTTGAGCACATATTGTACTTTTTAATAATAGACTTAAACCCGCCTAATCAGAACCATATCAACCATTAAAAGTTGGTTATTATTCTATTTATATAATTTGATTCCGTTTAGCGTCCTAAACCTGTATACACATTAATAAAATACACTTCAATATTGTGTACGCAGAATCCGTCTTACTAACAAGTAACAAAATATATTATTTTACATTTGACAAAATAAAAAGTTTCATCACATCATGTTCAGTGTATTTACTCGTATAATATAAAATATATATACTTATATATAATATTTAAAAAAAAGATATAGATATGGCCGTCACCGTACTTTACCATGTTATTATACAAACGAGACTTCTATAGGGCTTCATCTTATAACCAATGTACTATGTTATACTCTATACGGGTAGGTGTATATGAGTTAACCATTGTCCAACAGGGGATAACGCCGATCATTTACCAACAAGCGGGTAATGTAACAGCGGCTAGCGAGACAACATCGGCGACATAGTGCACACTCCACACAATAAGTCTTAAGTGCATTTTTAAAATTTTTATATAAACGACGTTTAAAAGCTAATAGTACCATATGATATCAAACATCTAGGTCCCTTAACATCAAAACTACGAATCTCTGGCTTTCAATATATGTAGGTACTTACACAATGTGCAGAATGCACATGCAGGTATATTAGATAGCAACGAATAACTGAATTTACCAAATAATGCACTTATGATACGTGTACAGTGTGCACTATGCCATCAATACTATTCACAAATATAAAAACACAATAAATACAAAATATACATTATAAAATATTGAATTATCTCTAAAGCGCATTAACATAATTGAAAAAAAGCATATATAAGTAATTTATTATAAAAAAGCGGTTAACCGTGCAAAGTTAATCCCAAGTTATTATTTTTTTTAGTCTGTGTGTCAACAATAACAGTAATATTACCGACACGTGAGCGGAAAGTCAATACCTTTCCAAACAAGACGGTCGTGTGGCCGGTACCTGGTTATATATGTATAATAACGTTATTAAAAATTATCGACGCTGACTTATATATATAGATTGTAGCTATATTCCTTTTATATAGTAGGTCCTTAGAAGGTACATTTTTACTTTTTCAGTAATTCGTCGCAACACTTCCACGCAGCTGGATAGCTAATTGTAATAATTAATAATTTAGTCAAATAAGCGTAATTAGTAACTGCTTTTTAAGCTTAGATTTTTTTATTTGGAAATACATATTTTCTTTAAGTTTTGATGCTATGAATTATTTGAAAAGGTTATCTATCAATCAGAAAATTGTATGTATTTACATGCACATGACGTCAAATGTTAAAAAAGGTCTCGCCATTCAGGGAAAATGGAAACGAAGAAAATGTATAACACAGAGTGATTCATGAAATATTACCTCAGAATATTTAAGGCTTACAGTTTTCAATTTTTTTTACAATTATTTAAATACGCTTAAATTGACATCACCCAGTACCCGCGATATTTCCTAAACCGTTTAACCGATTTGTAGTACCTACCCATAAATATAATATCATATTATCGGCGGCGGCGGCCGTATAAGCTATGTTGTGCGATGATTTTGGTCGCACAATTCGGGCACCAGCGTATAATACTTTAGGCAGCGACAGTCGTTGTGGCTAGGGTGGCTTTATTTTATCATAAAATTAAAAAAAAAATTTTTAGCGCACTCCTGTGTCAAATCACCACGAGTCGCCATTGGCATAGAGGTCCCATAATTATGCAGTAGAAATAAAGTTTTGTCCACGATTTTTAAATATTTGATAGATCGATGAATACATTAGACATAATAGTAGTTTTAATTGTCGACTTATTCGGTTACACCCATTAACCTACTTAGTTTCAAACAAACATTATTGGTCGATATCTACTCCATAATTATAAACATACGGATACGAATTAAACAAATATACAATCATGCACATGCATTGAAAGGTAGAGGGCAACTATTTGAATATTAATAACTCATAGCTAGATAGATATAAAACATACTACTATCACGGACGAATTAGAGTTATTAAAAAGAAAACTTTTATCAATAATTATACCCAATCTTATTATCTTTAATCGCTTATTACGACAGCCAACTGTAAGGAACATAATTGATTAATTTAGCAACAACTGTTAATAAACTTAATCTCATTAAAATGACAATTTGTCAATTATAAAAATAAAATCAAAACCACAATACGCCCTATTAAACGATACAGGAACATTCTAGGTCAATTCGTTTAGGTTAAGTTAGAACCAGTTTAGCGTAGACTTTAAAATAATGGAGTTACTACTATTTTCCTTTTTAGGTCTTAAATTTATAAAAATACCAAAGCTAAATTTATGTTTGTCGCAAATAAGGAATCAGTGTCATTTTAACTACTAGTTTAAAATCGCACGAGAGTACATTTGTAAGTACCTATTTAGATTATATAACAAATAGTTATATAACAGTGAATTATTTTTTATTTGGTAAATTAGCGGTTGTTTAATTGATTAATTGTTTAATTGATTGTTTAATTTTGTACTATACTTTTTTCAATTGATTATTTATTTGTTATAACTTAATATATTACCTATCTTTAAAAATATACTTTATTTTAATTGTTATAATAAATTATTATGCGCAATTTATAAAAAAAATACTGGTGTTTGCAAAAGTCATTTTTAGTCAACACTTTAATGTATAAACAGCCAGTGCAATCAAACCATGTGTTTTCGTAGATAATAATGTCAACATATTGCTAGTCGACAGTTTAATGTTTGATAAATGATAGATTTATAGGTAGGATCTACTTTTACTTTGGTTTTCTATTCGTTCAATTAAATTATGTTTAACTTATGACCCATCTAAAGCGTCCGCATAGACGGTCTATGACAGGCCTAACAAGTAAAAACAATAGGTAGATAGGTAGAGAGAAATCTGAAGTAAAGATTATATAATGTAAAAGATATACGGACATGTTAAAATAGATAAATTGGTATCTAAATTGCCAACTGTTAATGTATTGACTTGTATAATGTAAAGCAAACTGCTAGTACACGAGCGGTAAGCCGCTTATTATATGGCGACAAAGCAATAATATATTCTCTCCCCACCCGAAAAAAAAGCGCATAATCACCCTCGCGCTTATAAATCTATTCTCGCACGCGCGCTTACCTATACATATAGGTGCTCAACATATTATTTATTTTACCGTATACCTCTGTCTACCTAC